CCGTCCCCGGATCCCGGCAGTGGTTCAGTTTTACTTTCCTGATTTCTGCAGTTGCTCTAGGATATGTACTCACACCTGAAGACTTGGAGCTAGGAACTTTCTATGTGGGTGAACTTTCCCGGTCTGGGCTATCTCATTCAATGTGGTCTTTTCTAGGATGAAATACGGTCTATCTCATTCAATAGGTCCATCTGTTTCCCTGCAAAGTTCATGATTTTGGTTTTCGTTTGTCTGTTTGATGGCTTGCTTGCCTTTTTAACAGCTGCATACCACGTTCTCATTATCCATCAGTTGTAGGACATTTAGGTTGCTTCCTTATCCTGCTATTATGACTAGAGCAGCAATGGACATGGCTGAGCAAGTGTCTTCAGAGTAGGATATCGCGTCCTTCTGGCACATGCCAAGGAGTGCCCAGCTGGGTCATGTGATGGACTTATTTTCCTTTTGATAATTCTCCACCCTGATTTCCATAGTGGCTGCACCAGTTTGCACTCCCACCAGCAGTGAAGGAGCCCTTCCCATCCTCCCCAGCATTTCCTGTGCTTTGTTCCTCTGATCTTTGCCATTCCAACTGGAGTAAAAAAAAAAAAAAATCTCAAGGTGGTTTGATTTGCATTTCCCTAATTGCTAGGAATGATTTTTTGTTTGTTTGTTTGTTTGTTTTTCGAGACAGGGTTTCTCTGTGTAGTTTTGGTGCCTGCCCTGGATCTCTCTCTGTAGACCAGGCTGGCTAGGAATGATTTTTTGTTTGTTTGCTTGTTTGTTTTTCGAGACAGGGTTTCTCTGTGTAGTTTTGGTGCCTGCCCTGGATCTCTCTCTGTAGACCAGGCTGGCCTCGAACTCACAGAGATCCTCCTGCCTCTGCCTCCCGAGTGCTGGGATTAAAGGTGTGCAATACCACCACTGGCTCCCCACAGGCTTTTTACTTAGTTCTGGAGACTGAAATCCAGTCTTTAGGCTTGTCGGACTAACCCTTTTACCCTCTGAGCTACGTGAGTGATTACTCTGCGTTGCCTGTACAATTCCAGCACTTGGGAGACTCAAGAAGACAAGAAATTCAAGGTCACACTTGGCTACAAAATGAGTTCAAGACCAGTCTGGACTGAATGACTATGTCTCAAAATAAAGTGAGAATAACTGTGTGTATCTGATAGACTTGCTCAGTTAAATCGAATGGGTACATACAAGGTACTAACTAGATTGCTTCCCTGTGCTGATAGGATCTAGGAACAAAGAGGTAATTCAAGCGAGATGTGGTGTCACATACAGCTTTGATCTCAGCACTCCCAGCACTTTAATCCTAGAGGCAGAGGCAGGCAATCTGAGTTCGGATCCAGCCTGGTCTACAGAGCAAGTTCCAAGACAACCAGGCCTACACAGAAGAAACCCTGTCTCAAAATAAATAAATAAATAAATAAATAAATAATAAATACATGAATAAATGAATGAATAAATGTGGTTAAAAACAAATACATAGTCCCAT